CAGGTTTGATCATTGATGCCTTTGGAGAGCTGAGAGACCAGCAGGAGCAGGTCAGAGAGGACATGGAGGTAAGATAATGAGTTTCTGAGAGATTTAACTGGTCACTTTACGTAATCCACCTTCAGTTCCCCTTCACTTCCAAGACAGGAGCGCGCGTAATCTGAACTGTCCTTGCTCCCTCTAGACAAAGTGCTTCATCTGTGGAATAGGAAGTGACTACTTTGACACGACGCCGCATGGCTTTGAGACGCACACCTTAGAAGAACATAACTTAGCCAACTACATGTGAGTTTCATTTAAAGTGCAGATGTGACAATTACTTTCCTTTAAATACAGAATGTGTTCACTTGTTTTGACCTTGTTTATGCTTACTGTTGACAAATCATTCAGTCTCCCTCACCGCTCTCATCACAGATATTTGCACCGTTAATGTTAAACTTCAGTGAAATCCTCATGAATTTGGTCTCTTGACTCAAATGGGAAAAATGTCTTTTCTTTCCCCTAAATACTATAACAAGTTACTGAATTTCTCCAAACACGCTTCCCTGTTATTATGTCGCTTAATTTTTTTCACTATTTTCCCTCTAATCCCCTTTTCTCTTTCAGGTTCTTCCTGATGTATCTAATCAATAAAGATGAAACAGAACACACGGGACAGGTCAGTAGTAGCTGGTTATATATATATATATACTGTATATATAAAATAATTTAGGATTAAAAAGAAATGAGGTACATAAAATAAATGTGCAGCCCTCACTTGTCTTTCTGTTTCCTCTTTAACCATCCTGTCTTACGTTGTGTCATTTCCTCTTCTGTCTGTCAGGAGTCATACGTATGGAAGATGTACCAAGAGCGATGCTGGGACTTCTTCCCGGCTGGAGACTGCTTCAGGAAGCAGTATGAGGATCAGCTCGGATAACCTCCTGTGTCGTGAATGCGTTGTGAAGGAGAAAAAGAGGAGAGGGGAGGGGAGGGAAATTCGGAGTGAAGAAAGATTAGAGAGATCGAACACGTCTACGTCTTAGTTTTGTCCTTTATCTGCACATTTCTCTCCTCCGTTGAAGCTATGCACACTTTGACTGCACTTTTGTACCACCTGCAGGAGGTTGATGGATTAGATTTGTGAAGAGCAGAATAATAATATCGGAGAGGCATAAAAAGACACAAGAAGCAAGGGGCCTTTTTATTCCGCTATGAATACACTACATGGCCTTTTTTTGTGTGAAATATACACAATGGGCTGTTTCAGTCGCTACTGCTGTAAACATTACAGTGCCTATACCAATGTCACTGCTTTAGCGATCAAATAGTTTAGATTTTTAGCTTTGACACTTAGAGTGTATATGTTTTATTTATATTGTTTGTAAGGTTGAAGATTTTTTTGTATGTGGCTGCTGCCATCTAGTATTTCATTTCCGATTTCTGGTGTTTTCAGTGAGAGAGAGCGTTTGGAAAGAAATGATTCAGCAGCTCACAGTCGTACCTCTGAGATCCTTGAAGGAGCTGTGAACATTTGAGGCCCCACCCTCACTCCTTTTCTTCCTCTCTCAAGACTTACAAACTTGTCTTCAAACAAGCGATCATGTACGGACACTCTTGTTGGACTGACTTGTCAAGATAATAAACGGATTATCATCTGCGTATGTGACGCATACCAGTGTGAAACAGCTGTATACACGAACCCAGTTTGCACTCTGAAGTCTTACAATGCGTCCCTGAGATGTATGTGGTCCCCTATCTCCACTGGTGTCTCTGTGCCATATAAGGTAGTGATGATGTACACACTCACATACAATATAGGAGGATGCCAAGGTTATTTATTTATTGTTTATATGCAGATCAGATCTTCTGAAGACGACCGTTTTAGCCCGTCTGTATTTCTGGCCAACAGTCTGTTTTATGACACTTTATGCACAAATAAGTTTTTGTCAGTGCATTAAAATAAGTAATGAATGTATTTAATGTATACATTTTGGCCAAAGTGTCATCTGTATAACTGGGTAATGACTAGGCTGCTTAGAGGCCTTTTGATGAACAGACATATTTTACATAAATCATAGATACATATATTTATTTTTCTTTAGGGCTTTGAAGAATTTCAACGATCCGTGCTACTTTGTCAAACATTGTCATGCGTCCTGTTTGTGAAATCCATGATGATGAAGAGAATCGGTCTCACACTGAAGTAAATGCCCAGTTTGCAGTCAGAAGAAAAAATTAGCTTTTGTTTTTGCTAGTTAGGTTTTTATGATAGATATTTTTAGGAATCCAGCATATCAGTTATTTTTCTCAATCAAAAAAGTCATGTGTGATGCGTTGATCTCGGACAGTTCTGTATCACTTTGCCTCTTTCAGAACACTCACAAACTCACAAACTCTCCATCTTGTGTTCAATGTTACGACTCACTTTGTCAGAGACAGAGCAGTGTTTTGTTTGCTGACGACTCTGAGGTGTGCGTTTGCTGCCGTGGTCCTCACTGAGGCAGTTGATGGTATGGAGCTAGATGGAGATCACTACTTTCCACCGGACTGAGTGTCCTCTGACTGAACCCTGTGTTTCAATACAGAATAAACAGATTATTTTAAGGAGAACTGGAACATGTGTCCTCATTTACATGCAATCTGCTTAGTGTCTGTGTGTGTGTGTGTGTGTGTGTGTGTGTGTGTGTGTGTGTGTGTGTGTGTGTGTGTGTGTGTGTGTGCATGTGTGCTGCTGTCACTCTACCTCTGTGAGGACCAGTTTTTTTGTAAGGACGTTGAGTGTGAGGATATTGGTTATATGGTATTCTGTACATTATGTTGTCATGCTGGTGTCGGTGACTTGTGAACATCCCTTAAGAATGATTCACTGAAGAAACGTCGTATTTACACAGCAGGTACCCATATGGAGTCATGATCTGATTTATGCCTTGCTGCATAAAATCTGTGTGTGTGTGTGTGTATATATATATATATATATATATATATACATATATATATATATGATGTGTATATGATATACATGTTTTACAGCATTTTTTAATGAAATATTACTAGTAGTACTGTTAGCATGTGGTCATTTGTCATGAAGCTCATGGTGGGATACAAGACAATCTAAAGGCCTCTTGTCAAAAAATATTTTTGAGGTTAGAAAGAGGGTCTGGTGTGACCAGACGGCTGAGTGGTTAGGATACATACAGTATGTGCCAGCTGGATCCTTTCCTGCATGTCTCTCTACTGTATTTCCTGTCTCTCTCCACTTTCCCTGTCAAATAAAGGCATAAAAATTGCCCCCAAAATACCTTAAGATATAATGTTCAGGCTAAGGGTGTGGGTTAGGGAATAGCTTATGGGTCCTCACGGGTATAGATGTTCAAGTATTTTGGTATATCAAAGTATTAAATGTTGCAGAGAAATGACATGGACATCAACATTACTTTGCATATATACCAGATTTAAATAGATTTTTAATTCACTAACTGCATTTATATGAATCGGTGAAAGATATTTCTCAACTCTTGTTTGTGTATCTTGTCTTCATTATTTGTTCCATGGTGTTTTCTGACTGACCTGATCATCAGTATTTCCTCAAATGTGCAGAACTATTCAAATACATTAAAACAATAATATTTGCAATGTAGATACTGTACGGAAATAGTATTAGATAAAAAAAAGCGCTTTAAATGATAATTTAACTCCCCTTACCGCCCTGTTTATACAAGAAAACTTCCCTTCTGCACCATATAATTCCTGTAATAAAGTGATACTACTGTTTACTTTATAGTTTATGAAATTAAATGTTCCCTCTCAGTGGCTGTGTTTCAGTTTCATGGTGTTTTTCAGATCAGATATAAAAAATATCAAAATTGTGCTTTAGACTTTTCTGGAAACACCCATGTGTCACTACGACAGCTTTTGTTCCCTGAAAGATTGTGTGTCTATGTGCGTGTGTGTATATGAGGAGCTTGTATGTTTACTTTGTAAAACATTTGCTGGAAAAACCTATGTCTCAATGAAGTAGACTATGTATGTAGAACTATGACTGGTGGGAGATAAGAGTTACTTGTGTTTCTGTTTGCCTTTGGTAGACAGGCTCCTCTGAGAATTTTATGAATCATACACACACCCTCGTTTCTTTTCATCTCTAGGGGTATAAAACTTGTAATTGACGACTTTTAAATACTGTTATGTGCTGAACAGAGATCGTGGCTCCTACACACGTTTCAACTTTCAGAAAGTCTGTTGTGTTTCCGCCACCAAAAAGGACAACAAATATTCAGTTAGTTGTAACTTTCTGTGGAAATAATGTGGTGCATCATGACATACTCAAGAATAGTACTTGAGTACAAATTTGATGTACTTCTGCTAGAATTCAGAGGAAACTGTACTTTTTATTTCACTACACTTATTTATGAGATTTAGTAACTGGTTACTTTGCAGATTGAGATCATACATATGAGCTGATAGAATATGATAGATTTCCCAGCATTATAAAACAAATCAGTTCCACCCGACCAGTTACAACAGCAAAATGCTTCTTACACCTTAACGCATCAGTAATAATGATCCAATGATATAATAGTAAAACCCTCACTGGTGTCATTTTCTCTAAACTTTCTACTTTAATCTGTAACGGCGTACTTTTATTTTGCAGCAATTGCTTCTTTTACTTGAGTAAAGAATCGGAGTACTTCCTCCTCCTCTGTGTAGAGGGGATACTCCGTAGCTTGAATAGCAGCTACATGTTTCAGTTTTGTTGGTTTTTCGTTCAACACGCTGCACACACACTTGAACAAACACACTCTTGCCTTTTGTTGTAATGTGCCACTCCTCTGCTGGGGTCAAGGGTTAATGTGCATCTTGTGCCTCCAAAGTAAACATGGTGATGCAGGCCTGGGTTTGGTACCCTGCTCTGCCCCTCCCTCATCACTTGTATAAAACCAGGCCTCCAGCAGAGATCAGTTTCTGACAAAACCCTCCTGTTTCCGTCCGCCTGTCCACCTCACTGACTGACCGCTGCCATGACTTTTGTTGCTCCTCCTGGCTATCAGCCAATCTATGGTCCTGTAAGTATCTGCACTGGCTGCTGCTGAATTGTTGAGGAACTAGTTTAACTCCTTAATATTTAGTTAGTTTAGTCCAGTGGTTAAAGTTCTGCTAAGCAAGGATGTTTCATTTATTTTTGCTTTATTGTGAAATATTTTACCTCAAACAGTTATTTAAATGAAACCATCTGAGAAGTTTAAAGATTAGAAATCATAACAAGAGACATCTGAAACATGACACTGCCTGTTTGTCACAAGCCACTAACTTTAATATTGGTTTAATCTGTAGCAATGCATTTTAGATCATCAAATGTTTTTCAGGTGAAATCTTAATCTGAAAAAAATAACTAGTTACTCAAACAAACATAGAAAGGTAGAAGTGTAAAGTAGCATAAAATACTAAAGTAAAGTACATAAAGTATTTGAGTACTTTCCATTTCTGCATCCAAGGACAATAAACAATGAAATCAAACCATTGCTCCACTATTTTTTATGGAGACTGTCCCGTTTGAACCGCACTTGGTGAATGACAGTTTACTGTATGATGTGACTGTTTGCTTTCTACAATGTAGTTGAGTGTTTTTCATGCACTGTACAGAGAATCCCCTACCTGGGGCCCATCTATGGAGGCCTGAGGGAAGGGACGTCCATCTACCTCCAGGGGTCCATTCCCGAGGACATCACCAGGTGAGTTTAGAAAAAAAAGTCTGTCACATTGTGTTGTCCTTTACTCAGTGTCTCCTTATGAGTGAAATACATATGGGTGTGATCAGTCCATTTTGTATTAGCCGTTTCCAAGTAGGTAACTGTGTTATATCCTCTGCAACAGTTTATTCTAACCAAAACTCAGGTAACGCTTGTGTAATCACAGTCTGGGTGGAGCAGCTTTCTTTGCATTGTTGGATATCAAAGCAGACTTGTAACACTCACAGCTCCACTTTTATCATTTGTCCCTCCCCTCGTCAAAATAGTAATATCTGACTTGTCAAAGGGACTTTTACAGGCCATTTGCAGACAAAGTAAACACTGCACATGCCGGACTCTATCATGACACCTGTAGCTCCTTTGTGGGGAGAGAGCCTCGGGTTTTTGTGCACTCGGCCTCACCTGCAGTGTTTGCATTTCTTCTGTTTTCTAACACTCAACTGATTCAACAGTCACTTCAGGACTCAGTGATATAATGTCTCTGACTCCCCCGCCGTTGCTTTTGGCAGATTCTTTGTCAACCTCCTTTGTGGAGAGTCTGAGTCCAGCGACATCGCCCTCCACTTCAACCCTCGATTTGACGGCTGGGACAAAGTGGTCTTCAACACGTGTCAGAATGGATCCTGGGAGTCAGAGGAGAAGATTCGTAGTATGCCCTTCTGCAAGGGCCAGTCCTTTGAAATGGTCATCATGGTCACTTCACAAGGCTACCAGGTTAGACCAACCAGAAGTTAGTTTGTAGAAGTTCACACAAGGTAACACTTTAACCCCATCTATTTTACCTATTTATTAATGCATAATATCTGTCAACAGGTATAAATTCTCCTGTGAAGACATATTAATACCAATGTGTGACTGTATTGTCATTTATCATTTGTTTATACACCAGCCTCCATTTACTGGTGCCAACAGGAGGAGTTATAGCTGATGACTAATGCATTAATAAACACAAACACACTATTTGGTTTCTGCGTTCACTTTCAAACACATTATTTATACATATTGATATAAATTACTTAGAACTGGACCATAATGATGTATATGACGTGTATAATGTATATAATGTATATGACGTGGCACCCTCTGATCAAACTCATGTTTCTGTTGCAGATCAAAGTCAATGGGAATGACTTCCACACCTTTCAACACCGTGTGCCTGTGGAGAGAGTCTGTGCGATGCAGATTGCAGGAGATGTTTCCATCCAGACGATTAATGTCATAGGGGTGAGACCTTCACCCCCTGAAGCTTTCAGCTTAATGCTTTGTGCTTTGCTGGGGCAAAGAAATTATACAGAGTTTTAAATAATAAATCATGAACAGCTAACGCTTTCTGCTCCTGTGTCAGGGTGCTCGAGGTGGAATGAATAGGTATCCTGGAGGAATGGGAGTGAGTAAAACAGTGAATGTTATATTGCATGAAGGAAACGCTTGCTCTTGCTCTGTTTTGCTGCAATTCGATTGGTTTAAATTTAATTTTTTAATGTTCTCATTATTACCAAGAAATGTCCTCTTATTACTGCTGTGTTACCAACTATTCCCCTGTTATTACACATATAGTTCCCTACTGTGCTGTTGTTATGACAAGGTGTAATGTAATGTGTTCCCAAAAACACAATACAGTAGTGGCACCAGTAGTAGAACATGAAGTAGTGGTATTAGCAACAACTGCAGCTTTGAGTGTCAGTATGTGTTTTTCCTGATAAACCACACAACGCTCTCTGTGCACTTTATGTCACACAGGTTAAATAGTTTGTTGCCTGTTGAGTTTTACACTTTGTTTGGTCTTTTAGGGAGGAATAGGAGGAGGAATGGGAGGAGGAATGGGAGGAGGAATGGGAGGAGGAATGGGAGTAAGTGCCTGGCCACTAATAAAGTGTAAAAATTGAACTCAACACATGCTGTATTGTACAGTATTTAACATATTCACCACTCAACAGGGAGGATATCCAGGAGGCGGCATGGAGGTATGTCATTGTTGTTGGCAAAATATTTATTAATATATTTATATATAGTGAAATAATGAACAGATTTTCACTGACCCTTCCTTTTTCTTACTGATATCCAGGGAGGATACCCAGGAGGCATGGGAGGAGGAATGGGAGGAGGAATGGGAGTAAGTATACTTAGGAGGCCTTTGTTCATGAAAGGATGGTGATATTATATATTTCTCCAAGTGTCAAAAAAGCATTTAGCAGTATTTAACGTTTTCTCCACTTTTCAACAGGGAGGATACCCAGGAGGTGGCATGGGGGTGAATAAAGTTTTGATTTATTATCTTCATCAGTGCTCAAATTGAAATACATTTTTAAAAATACAATACAGTAAATCCAAATAAAACAAAACAAAACAAAATAATGTGTTTTCATGCAGGGGGGATACCCAGGAGACATGGGAGGTGGTATGGGGGTATGAAACATTCATATTACAACATATCCTATGTTCCTTTTGTGTTATCTTCATATTTTATAATTTTATACTGAACTAAGCCAAACTAGTTCGGCATGTGTACATTAAACAACAGTTTGTATGCAATCAGTACTCTGTACTTAGTGAACTGTGGCATCACATTTGTAAATGTTTGTTTATCTTTACCTCTGTCAGGGAGGATACCCCGGATCAACCCTGCCCGTAAGAATATTGCATGATAAAGTTTGTACTTATATACAAAGTTATATTTCTGATAATTCTACATAATTCATGTATCTGTGAATGTGATTGTAGGGAATGGGTGGACAGCCAGTCTACAACCCTGTAAGTAACATTTGTTTCACACTCATGTGTATGAGGCCTCGTTTGTAGTGGTCGCTTGTTTTTTTTGCTGTTTTGATGTGAGGCGCTTAAAAATGTTGTCATGACACTTTGTCAACAGTGTGTTATGAGCATAAGATAATTATTCATAATTATTATATAGTCCGCTTCTATTAATATTATTGATATTTGTATTTATTTAATATGTCTACCTGACTGTTGACCTGCTTGTGTGTTTATGATCATGATCATGATAATTGATCTCCAGTGGTCACAGTCAGAGCCTACACATACACATTCCTCGCTGAGAATAATACAGCGGTTAATATGGATTGTTAATATTATTTAGATGTATGAATAAAGATAGTCATAATCATGTTAATGCATTCAAATGCACAACAATGTAAAACGCCACACCACAACAGAAACATGTTTGCTGTGTGTTTTCAGCCTGTGCCTTACGCCAACATGATCCCAGGAGGGATGTTCCCTAAGAGGACCATCATCATCAGAGGCATGGTGCCCTACGGAGCAGACAAGTGCGTGTGTGTGTGAGCGTGCATACAGTATACCGTACATCACACTACAGTGTCGTAGTACCACTAACACTGTCCACTGTCCGTGCGCTTCAGAATCAGCATCAACTTCGTGGTGAGCAGATCTCGGGACATCGCTTTCCACATGAACCCCAGGGTGAGGGAGGGGATCGTGGTGAGAAACAGCATGATTGGAGGTAACTGGGGCCTGGAGGACAGAGAGCTCAGCTTGAACCCTTTCATGGAGGGACAGTACTTTGATGTAAGTGGTGTCCATCATTCATGCTGTTTATTTAGCCGTCGTAATGAATTACTATGTGGTTTAGTTGATGGTTTTGACGGCCTGTGGGTGTCTTGTGTCTGCGCTCCTCAGATGTCGATTCGCTGTGGGAACCAGAGGTTTAAGGTGTTTGTGAACGGGCAGCACTTGTTTGACTTCTTCCACCGCTTGCAGTCCTTCAGTGAGATCGACATGCTGGAGATCGATGGCGACGTGCAGATCTCCTACATCCACTTCTGAGACCACACACACACACACACACACATAAACACATACATGCACTGATGTATAAACCCTGTACATTATTCAACTGTTTCATGTTTCGTGGATATGTTCCTGTCCAGATCTTAATATCCCTGCTGTTTCACCTTAGATCTTAATATGAAAAAACGTTACCTCATCATCTGCTGTCCTGTTTAACTGAATTAATAAACATGTCACGAACACGTTTGATGTGAATGAGATTAATACTGACTACATAAAGACAACATTCATAAATGGACACATTTATTTCTTATACAAAATACTGTATGCACTGTATAAAAATTTGTTTACAAATCATGACAGTGACAATATAAAGGCAATTATAGTACAGTCTTCTCCCAATTCAACACACCAGGAGAATCACAATCCACACACACATCTACTGCAATGCAAAAATACTGGCTCTCTGAAGGCACTTGGTAAAGTTGTGAGTGTGATCAAGAAGAAGGAGTTTCAGTTTTTTCTTTCTGGAGTTTTTCTTTTTGTTCACAGATCTTCTTTCTTTTCTTTTCTTTTTTTTTTTTTTTTTTTTAAAGCAGCAGCTGTATCTGCATTCAAAATGGTGATTATTCATACAGACCAAATTAGACCAGTGCCTCAGTCTCAGCACTACTTTCTGTGGTTCACAAACAATGTAGGACTACTGCTCACTCAGTATACAGTACCAAAGGTATTGCAAAAAATGTACACGCTCTCTAAACAAGGAATTCAGTAATGCTACAGGTATGACATACCGCTGTATACTGCCCCATATATTAAGTACCTTGGATGTATACAATTTAAACAAACTCTGTTCTCCCAAAATGTGTGTTGGAATATGGTCAAGTCTGTTCCACTGACAGAATAATGAACTAAAGCATATAAAAATAAGTGCATGCATGATGCCAAGTTGCAGCTGAACGTCCTCAAAGCAGAGGGCTGGAAGAGATCTTCACTTCTATTCGGTTTTCAGCTGCTGCTTTCGGTCTCCTCCTCCTCCTCCTCCTCCTCCTCCTCCTCCTCCTGCCTCTCTGCTGGTAACAGACTTCTATTTACAGTGCTAAACCTCGAGAAACAAAAATACCCCCGAATAAAAGAGTGGCAGCGAGATGTCAGATGACGAGGTTCGTCATGTTTCCCAAGTCTGCGCTCATTTACAGAAAGGAAAAGAAAAGGACTCCCTTAAATAGAGTTCAACACACCGTGACGCTTTCACAGGCCGTTCTCTGCCTTCATGAACATGCAAGTTGTTATATGTGAAGAGATTGGATGAGAAGTGTCTACAGAATGACTGAGAATATACGAAAGGTAATTAAAATTTAAAACAAGCTTAAAAGATATACAAATTATAAACATACATTGATATAAAAACATTAGTGCAAAATTGTAGAAAAACAAAGATCAGCATCAAAAAAAAAAATTACAAAATGTGTAATAACACTGTGCTTGCGCCAAAAACAAAGGTGAGGAGCTTATCCTGCCATTTGCCTCGGGTAACTCCATCATGTCCGTACCGACCCTCAGTCCGCCTGCCTTCCTTTTATTATCTGTACCCTCTTGATTTGACTAGTACCTCTGTCCCTGTAGAGCAAAGTCTCAGGTTCCTGAGTTATGACAAAGACGTGTAGACGAGCTGAATCAGGCCTCGTCAGTGAGGAAAGAGTGTGAACTACAAGCGGCTCACAGTGCTTCGTGCACAGCTAGCAGTAAAACCCAGTGAGAAGATGCAGGGGTTTGTTAGAGCGCTACATTAGGCTGTGATACAAACTGCTGTAGGTTAAGATGGAGGTTCCTCATTCATAACAGCTTCACATACAAGTCTCTAAAGCCCACAGCGGAATTTCATTTTTCTTCTTCTTCTTCAGATGTGATTTTCTTTTAAATTCATATTTCATTCTGTTGGGTAAAAGTCTTCCTGTGTGGTGAAGCTACGACAGGTGAAGCTGTGACGCTTCACCCCAACAACAGCAATGTCGCCGATTTGAACCTAAAAAAAATCTTTGTGCTGTCCTTCAATATAACCTGAAAGCACGCAGCTGTCTTCACCAGATGATAGCTTCCGTGACAGAGACTCGGCCGCTTCCTTTCCTCCCCACCAGTCCCCCTCAGGAGCAGGAATGGGTGAGGTTTCTCTCCGTCAGAGGAACAGTTTTTTTCTCGGGTGGAGCGAGTCCTCCATGTTAGCGCTTACTCACTGGAAAGTTGAAGCTCCTGAGTTTGTTCAGTTGTAGGTTCAGTCTGGCAGTGTCTGAGCTGGTTTCACGGAGACGCTTGATTCTTTTTTTTTTTCCTTTTTTTTTTTTTTTTTTTTTTTTAGCTTAATCACGAGGAGGAGATCACTCTGCTGTGTTCAGGTAGTTGTGCTGATCTGGTATTTTATTGCCTGGGAGTTAATTTTTCTCTGATTGTGCTGCAGTGTGTGTGGGCAACAACATGTGCTCTAAAACCTGTTCACCCACTGTTTATTGTTGGTAACAGTGTTCCTCAGCGATCACACATTAATGTTTACACTCACTTGGAATTGTGCTCATTTTAGAAGAGAGGGGAGCTTTAGCAAAGGAAATAATCCCGATCCTTCACTTCCTTGGAATGCCTTCGGCTGTGTGTGTGTTTGTGCAAAACGTGTCTGCAGGGGCACGAGAGGTTTCTTACAGTCAGTAGCAGGAGGCTGGATCTCGTTCTTGGACTGTGGTAAAAGGGTGGCACACTATGGCAGTGACTAGTCTTGTCATTTTTTTTTTTATTTTAGAGTGAAATCATCACTGCCAGGGCATTTTCCTGGACGCTTCCCTGTCCTCCAGCAGCTCCACAGTTGGCGTCGGAGCCGGGGTGGGGTTGGGAGTGGATTGGCAGGACGGTTGTAGAGGCAACGTGGCTGTGGAGGACGACACCGGCATGTCCAGGCTCTCCAGGGAGTCAGAGAGGGCCCGGTTAGTCTCGTGCTGGGGACAGAGGACGTAGCGGTTGGGGTGATGGACCTCCACTGTGGTCACAGAGTCCAGGCCCTTCAGGCAGAGAGGGGATGGCCCCCCAATGGGGTCACGACCACCGACGGCCCCGAGCTCCATGGAGGACTCGTCCATGTTGACGTACAGGATCTCGTCGGGGTCCTGCGGGTCTGGCAGATCTTCCAGGGCTTTTTCCAGCTCACAGCGCAGGGACTCAAAGGATGGGCGATCCTTAGGGCTCAGCAGCCAGCAGGAGAACATCAGGGAGTAGCTGGAGAGGGCAAAGAAATGTTAAAATCAGAAAACTATTTTTTGTCCTACGCTTAGTACCAGGAAGCGAGCCAGCTTTCCAAATTGGGAAAGGAACAAAATGGTTCAGTAATACTGTGTTTATCAAAGGATCTTTAAGAAACATGGAAGAAATTCAGAGCATCAGCTGCGCCTCTTGAAAAGCTGATAGACTGGAACTGCCTTTACTCTCTAGCCTTGATTGCTTTATGGAAAAAAAACAGGCATTTGTAATGAGCTCAGTGTGCTTTGTGAGGATTGTGCAGCGGCGGAGCCGACACTCACATGCTGTCCAGACAGTCTGGAGGCTGTTTGAGACGGTTTCCCTGTCTCAAGTAATCATAAATCTCGCTGTTCTCGACCCCGGGGTACGGAGTCTGGCCCCGCGTGGCGATCTCCCACATGGTGACTCCAAACGACCACTGAGTGAGCGAGAGAGAGAGAGAGAGAGAGAGAGAGATGAAAGGTTACAGGGTTAAGGAGTTTTGAATTCCTTTAGGTCTCACACACCTTGCCACACACTGCTCAAACATGAATCTGCTCTTGTCAAATACTGCCTACGGAAGTAGCACAGCCATGTTTGCCCAGGCTTTACACACATCCCACTTCATGCACAGTTTCCTAAAGAATACACATCATTGTCAATGCTTACATTGTAGGTTTGTGCCAATGGATGGTGATCTCGATCACCGAGATCCCCCCACACTCGGCTATTGGCAATTTCACAGCGTGACGATAGGACGATCTGACTATGGATAAGATGGCACAACCCTATCACATTGTATGACCACACTTTCACATTCCCTCAAACATCCAGCGGTATCACCAGCTGTTACTGCTAATATCTGTCACGGATGTTGGTCCTGACTCACTGTATTTTCTAATTCAAATGGAAGACATGTAGGTCAATACATTGAAACTATTTTCTTCTATGTTCATGGGTCCATTTATCAGGAAGACAAACAGTACAGAAAATATTACTCCACCACGTAAAACTTTATCTTTATCAAATTATCTTTGTAACTTGTGAGGGCATTGTGTTGACTTACATTCATTTCCTGAAGGGTTACACCAAACGTTACCTCATTAGTAACACGCCTAACTCTGGGCCCTCCTTTCCCTTTCACATTACTGTGACCTCAAAGCAATAGTAACCCATAATCTATTATTGATTATCAAACACTCAAAGACACTCACTGGCTGTAAAAGACTTGGACAGTACTTTCTTCCTTGGCAATAAAAATCAGTTTCGACAGGGGGAAAAAAAATATCAAAACATTAATGAAACATTCCTGCAGCATCGTCTCCTTCCCCACTGTGGGTCAGGAGAGAAGTGGATCATACTGCAGGAGTGCTGTAAGAACTTTCATACATGTTTCAGTGTCATTTTAAGTCTCTTGATATGTAAAAGACAGATTTTAGGCGGGGCATCACTTAAACCAGTGTGTCATGCGGATAAAAAGCAAACGCTTTAACCCGAATTAGCAAGTCTTCAACTTAAAATACAGTGGCACCCATCTGAGAGCCACTGTTTAGTTTCCAGATGAGCAGATTCGTGCTCCAAGGTGGGACTTATACAGGCAAAACACAAGCACAAACACAGACACACAGCAGGTAAACTCACCACGTCGCTCTTTGTGGTGTAGACGCGGTCCGCCAAGCTTTCGATGGCGATCCATTTGACAGGCATCTTTGAGATCCGCCCCTGCCTGTAGTAGTCTCCATTGTAGATCTTCTTGGAGAGGCCGAAGTCGGCCACACATACGTTCATGTTCTCATTGAGCCTGAGGCGCAGAGACACAGGTGTTACAGCGCTGTACGGTATTTGGAAAAGGGGGAATTCCTGCTGTACAATTCTGAAGTACTTCCTCTGTTTCTTCTGCTTCTACTCCACTACATTTATTTGACAGCTACAGTTACATTGCAGATTAAGATTTTACATAGTAAACACACAATAATCTTGGAGAATATGATTTAATGTGTATTGATTTTCTACTTTGTCTGTATGTGCCACGCCTTTCTGCATCACATTAAGCTTTTATTATTTTGGGCTTCCCCTCTCCCAAACAGTCTTTTTGTCTGCTCTTAGTTCTTCTTAAAGGTTTGCTTCAGCATTGCATGCAGGGTAAAAAAGGAAAGAGAGAGGATTGACAAAGGAGGAAGGAGGACACATACAGGAACTGAGAGAGTCAAAAACAGAAGCGGAGATTGTGATTACATGCAGTTGCGCGCGGCGAGGTCTCTGTGGATGAAGTTCTTGCTGCTGAGGTACTCCATCCCTCGGGCAATGTCAGTCATGAACTTCACCAGCATTTGAGACGGGAGGTACTGCAGGTCATCACAGAGAGAGAGAGAGAGAGAGAAAAAAAAGAAGGTTTTATTCACACACATTATCCACTACAGCTGATGTTTACTTTCTGCACAGTAGAGGGCAGTAGAGCTCGTCTCTTTCAGGACCTGTGATCGGTCTGAACCGAGGGCTCCCTTCCTCCTCCTCCTCCTCCTCCTCCTCCTCCGGGAAGAAAAGGGTTCAACACCATTTTATTTTTTGAATGTTTGCCGAACTCATGGATGTTTTCAACATTATGTCGAAAATCTTGTTTCGATTAGGCTCATGATTCTCTTCAGGGACTTATTGCGTATAACAGTCATCGAATCCAAATAACACCTCATCCATTAATAAATAAAACTGCACAGAGCTACGATAGACTCTTATCTTGTGTTTTCATGATCTCAGAATGTACATGCTGCCAATACAGTATGGGTGGGGACTCAGTAACTTTACATCTTTGCTGAACTTTGGATCCCATTTTGCTGACAGACACTCGAGTGAACTTCTAAACCCTGAACCCATTAAGCTGTTAAACTGTGTGGGACTGCATGTGTGCATATGTGTTTGTGTGTGTGTTTGTGTGTGTGTTTGTGTGCCTGACTTGATGCGTTCATTGTTTGCAATCATACTAACCACCGGACAGTCTCCCAGCCTCGAGTATAGCAGATAGCTGTGCAGATCTCCATGTTTCATATAGGGCAGGATGACCACAGGGGAGGGGTAACCTTCACTCTCCACAGTCTGCAGACACACACCTGTAAAAACACCCCGGCTCAGTGTCATACACACAGACCGCACACATTCTTCTTCATTTTTTTTTATCTTAAATGTATTTCTATCTCTAAACTTGGGCTAAGAAACCCCATGAGTAAGGAGTAAGGGGAGCAGCGTGCAGCCTGACTCACCTAGAAGCCTCATAACATTGGGGTGGTCAAACTCCTTCATGCAGGCAGCCTCACGGAGAAAATCTTCCATCTCTGAGCGGGTACAGATGGCAACTGGAGAGGAGACGGTGCACAGGTGAGACAAAGTGGTTTTGTGCAGCTAAGTGGGTAACACACAGCGCGGGCTCTGCCAATGTTGAGAGGTTGCCAGGGTAAGAAGACGTTTTGGCTCCTGAGTTCATTAAACTATGAATTTATACATGGCAGCAGTTTTTTACCACCAAGTTTGTTTGAACTCCTTCACCACAGTTTGAAACGGTCAGAGTTCTGAATCAGAAAAGGGCGGTGCTGTTTATTGCCCCAATTCTGATTCCCTCCAAAATTCATCTTTTCAGTTCAACTCTGGAGCTTTTTTACAATTGTCTTTACTTTGGCACTACATACTCTGTGGGGTCAACTTTCTCTACTGCCAATATTTTTTACAAGATGTGTCTTTGTCCGTTTTCTGATCAAAAACTGAGATTTTTGCCCCCAACACAACTTTTTTGACTCGAGGGGACTGTCTATCAAATGGCCTGTGTTCCCAACATGAAGGGATTCATTGTAGTGATTGCTGAGTACTTTTACTGTCTACTCACTCTTCATAGTCTTGACAGCAACTTTGAGAACAGACTCCTCCTGAGTCAGCAGCCCCTCCATCACCGAGCCAAACTCCCCTGAAGAAAGAAATTAAAACACAAACAAACGCCCAGTTCAGACGCACTTTTTCGCTGCAACAACATTAAATCTCTTATTCAGCAGTGAAGAGCGGTTTCTTTCCTCAGCATGCAGTGAACAGGGCTGTAAGGATATCACATTGCAAACTGTGACACTATACCCAGGGTCACAATATATTACTGTCAAAGGAAATGAGTGGAGATAAGTGAGCAGCATGCACTGGTGCTGTAGCAGATAAGTCCTGTCTCTGTACTGTGTACCCACGCTCATATGAAAGTGTTTACAAATGCCCTTTTCACCTTGCTGTTTGTCAGACACTCCCTGTACCAAGACTGTACATAGTAACACCAGGCTGTCCTAGAAATGAGGCTCATACATACTTACAAAAACAAAACAAAAAAAACTAAACTAAACTAAAGAAAAGAGAGCAGTACCTTCTCCCAGAGTTTTTCCCAGGGTGAGTTTATGTCTGTCCACCATCACATCTTGGAGCTTCTGCTTCAGCTCGTCGCTGATGCCCAGGCTGTTCACTGAGGAGGAAAAAACAAAGGCTTTTAATGGTGTTTGGAGCCCAAAGCACTTTAATGAACAACATAGAAAAGAGAGGAAAAACAGCCAGATTGTACCGAGCAGCCTCCCTTGCTTTTCCAAAACCACAACGCACGACACTCAGCCAAAAACAAAGTGTTAATAAACATCGCCTGACTAAAATGAAAATAAAACTATAACTGAACTAAAACAACCCTGTCTACTTGTAAGCTCACAAAAAAGGCAATACACAAAAATACTCAACCATTGTTCCACATACAGTATCTATTATATCTTGAAAAATGGCATTCACAATGAATAAAAAAAGGACAGTTCAAATAAGAGTTAAAAGCTTAAGTAAGTTATATATATATATATATATATACATATACATATATCATATATATATTTAAAAAAAACATAATTGGAATAAAATGCAGTCCACTATGCAGAAGACAGAATCTGATATGGAGCCTCCTTGTGCTCTGAGGCCATTTTTTCAGGTGCGGGACCATGTGATCCTGCAGGGATCAGGTTAGGGTGAGAAGATGAGGTCAGAGGATTTAAGCTGGTTTTAACATTTCCGAGTCCCTTCAACCAGCTGGCTGTCACTGAGGTGTACGCTGGCGAACAGACTGCGCCACAGACGTTAGCTCCGCTTTCACATCTGGGCCAGGACATGACAAGGCCAGGACATGCTCAGAGATCCCCCTCCAGCTGCTGCTACACTATCAATCTGCTGTCTCCGTCAGACAACAATGTGCTCAGTCCACAGGCATGTTCCAACACATGCTGCTGTGACCAGCTATTAGCCAATGCATGCAATAGCCATAGCCCCAGGGTTTGACTTTGTCCTGAGAACTGGCCAAAATTACAAGTCAACATCAGCGACACAGATCCAGCCCAAATCCCTCCGATCTGACCCCTTGCTTTATTCCCAGCATGCTTTTCACCATTCACTCAGAGTACATTATCTCCACATCTCTTTCTCTTGGCTCCTCTCATTTTACTCACTGAATCCATTTTTTGGGCTTTTTTTTTCCTCTGCAGTTTCCCCCTGGCCTCTTTGTGGCTCTGGCAAGCTGAGACTTGTGTATGAGGTCTATACAAATATTGTGTGTACGCCAGGGACAATGTAAGGGTTTGAATGAGACCCAGCTGAGTGAAATCTGAGTCTGTATGCTGTGTTTACAGCTACGTATCTCCGTCTGTAATCATGAGGACTCACAGGGGCTGCTATTGACAGCATACTGCAAACCACTGCTTTGTACTCCACCACTACGTCGTTGTCACTCCACCTGGATGTGACTTGAAACACCCGCTTTTACTCCCCTGAGGTGAGATGACCTCCTCACTCCGGTCAGAGCGGTCGCGACACCTCATCTGTTGTTACAGGCTGCGTCAGTTTGAACTCTCAAGTCACTGCAGACTACATTTCCTGAAGTAACTGTATCCTCTTTCCTACATCCCCCACTTCTCCAACACGCTGTTATCTTCAAGCTTCACCTTCCTTGCCCTTCCTCCTTTTGCTTTTTCAGTATATGCTGTCTACGCCTGATTGCACAGGGAACGACTTCACGAGTGGATTTACTGCACAGCTAATCAATATGACTATAAAAAGATTGCATTATACAGTATAAGGGGCACGGAGTTGCTGTGGGCTGTGTCAGCTGACTGGACTCTCCTGGGCTGTTTTCACAGCTGTGGGGGAATGAATTAACCCTTTCCTGTTCGCTGTCCTGCCTTTTATCAACCAAACAAGCCAAGGAGGTGATTCCTGATCTTGAACTGGTGGAGGATAGCTTGTCATAGTGTTTTCCCAACAGCCAAAGGTTTCTTTCCTCTGAACTGGTGGACTCAGTCCCAGGGCATGAGAGGAGGTGTTATTATGCTATTTTTGGTGTTGTTATCTATCCTGAGGACAGAGGCAGGTTTGGGCACGCCGTTTACAGTGTCTCTTGCTGCTATAGGTGCAGCATGAAGTCAAGTGTCGTCTCTCTGAGGGGCATGCCGGGGCAGAGGGAGAGAGAGAGAGAGAGAGAGAGAGAGAGAGAAAGGAACTCACATGTTGCCTCTGTAGTCCTGCGGCTGTAGGTGCGGCGGGCACGGTACCTGACCACCAGCTCTCCGCTCTCCATCATGGGTTCAAATGCCTCTCTGTACATGCAAACACACGTCACACAAAACACAATGAGAGGTCAGTGCAGCGGATACGTAAACGCTGCTGAGAGCGTGGCATTGCTCCATAAATCATGAGAATTTCAAAACAGACGTATTCTACTCCATCTAAACGCTTCAGAGTGCATGCACAAGTGGCTCAACCAGGCCAAGAAAGTGAAGAAAAAACAACAAAAAAAAACTTTTTGGTTTGGCACAGCTACCGAGTTCCTCCCTTCTACCCACGAGGCTACGCACCCAAAGCGCGTCTCCTTGCGCCGCAGCTTGGCCACGTAAACAGCCATGAGCACAGCTATGGACACGGCGCCGGCAATGGCCATCACCACATACCACCAGTGCCAGGAAAAGGCCGGGGGCGATGACGGACCTGAGGGAAGGGGTGTGGACAGAGACAGACGAGAGTTTAGCAATGTAAGTCTTTTATGAAGTCAGCGTTCAGGATTATGGAGCTCTTAAAGTGACGGAAACACTCATTTAATTTTAGGTTGTGCTTTCTACTGATGTATTAAGTCACTTTTGGGGTGGGGTCTTCTAGAAATGCTGTGTAATATAATAGTAAATAGATACAAATGCACAATGTTCAATTCCTCTTCTTCTTTCCATTGTTCCTACATGCGGATGTGCTGGACAAACTCTCCTCACATTGAAAGTTAAGTTCATACACTGATTTAAACAATGTTACATGCTTGTAATAACACAGTGTACACTTCTTACATATGTAGCATTATTACGGGGTACAAATATGTTTCAACTGATCAACCTGACTAGGTCCTGCCCTCCATATTTGTTGAGCTCAATCCAAATATTTGTTCTGTTACTAAATATGAGTTCTTTCTGTCTTTCTGTCCCATCTCTCACATTAAAGTTACTCCCAGCCACCCCTGGAAGCTACTGCTAAACTCTCACACCCTCCACCCACCTACTGTTTTCAACTTTTCCTCCCATTCACACTCATCCTCCCCCAACTTTCCCTGCCTCCTCCCTTCTTCTCTCTTTTTATCTGCCATTCTTGTTGTTTGAATTGTCTGTCTGGCTCTATTAGACTAAGCAAACAGAGATGCTGCACTGTTCCTGCCTGTTATAAATATTTATGATGCGTCTCTCCATTCACCCCCTCCCCACAACACCCCTCTTCCCCTTTCTCATCCCTCTGAGATCCTCTCTTCTCTTTTTTTTTTTCTCTTTCTTCCCTTTTTTCTGAAATTCACAGGAAGGAACTGTGATGAAGGAACCCAGTGACAGAGAATGAGAAAGAGAAGTCCAGTGGCAGAAAAAACACCATGAGCTCACTTCTACTGTCACTGTGTCATTACGTGCCACTCACAGAGGTCACAGAGGAGCGTGCTGATAGGTTTGCATGTGCAACGCTGGTCATTACTCACCTCTGAATTCCTCCATTTCTGTGGGGAACAGAAGAAAAGAAGAGCAGAGCTTATGTCAGTGTTTTCGCTTTCAGGAGAAAAATGTAATCCTTTGTTTTGTAAAACCTGAAATAACACATGCTTACACTATTAATTCATTTCTAAGAAAATCTCAGGCCTTCTTGTTAAAAATGAATTGGTATTATTGTGAATTTTTCTTTACAAAATGACAGCAGTTTTGAAGGAGAAATGTTATCTTAAAGAATCTATTTCACCAACCATTCTTGTGTCAAACTACATGTGTACTCTTTAAATCCTAAAACATTATTTTAGCAGTAATATATATCAGTAGTTATGAGTTTTCACTCACCAGGAGCAATAAGTGTCAGGGTCTGTGTGGGGGTCCAGGGTCCTTGCCCTGCTCCTGTATAGGCACACACTCGAAAAGACACGTTGGTCAGCGGGACAGACAGATTGATTGAAAGCTCGGTGTCCAATCCAGTGTCCACAACCAACTGTCACCAAAAGAAAAGAGGGAGAGACCGTCGGCGTCACACAGGTTTTCTTTCTATCTGTCGGTATCTGATAACGTATGTGTCTGACTGACCTGCTGGGTGGCAGGGGTGCTGTACTCCACCATGTAGCCCTGTAGGTCTCCGTTCAGCTTCCCCGGAGGCCCCTCCCACATCATCAGCACCTCTGTCCCGTTTAGCACCGCGGTCACGTTCACAGGTGGGTTTTCTGGCACTGAGGCACAAAACGCAAAAGGACATGAAGGCGTTTCACTTCTCGTACAGTTACATTTGTACCTGTAAAGTTGTTGTAATGTTAGGTGTGTGTCAAAAGACTTTGGGGTATGAACTGGGAGTCGGAAGAAGTCAGTGTTGCAACTGCGGGGCTCAGCGGCCAGGGGCCAGTAGGCCGGGGGTTAGCCAGGCGTGTGTTGTTTTGACAGCCTTGAGCCTCTAGGGTGTGGATAACTACAACAGCTGGAAGGAGAAGATGTCAGAGAATGCGGAGAATTCAGCTTTATTAGGACAAAAAAGGCAGGCTAAGGGCACCACAGACAGGGGCGATTAGCTGAGTTCAGAAGGCAGCGCGCTCCCTCTCTGTGTCGGCATGGTTGGACGAACTCAGATGGACACATGCTGAGGCCTGTGTCTCCCTGCTTCATGCTGTCCCGACTCCATCCCTACTTCTGCTTTGTTCTCTCTCGCCTGCCTCTTTCTTTCCTGGCTCTCTGAAGCAGAGAGCGAAAAAAGAAATACCCAGTGGAGAGAAAACCTAGCTGAATAACATGCCAGAAATAGTATGAGGAATTTGTGCATACGTGTGTTCGTGTGTGCGCGTGTGACTGATGCTCGGGATAGCACAGAAATCGAAGAACCTTTTTCGCAAGGAGGGGACAGCGCTTATTTTCTTTGTTGGGAGTCTGAGTTAAGGCTCTCTTTGTCTTTGTTTCTCACACGGTCTACAGGCTTACAAAGTCACACAAACTGGCTGGACAACCCACACACACACCCACACACCCACACACTCACTCACACATACTCACACACACACACACACACACACACACACACACACACACACACACACACACACACACACACCAAGTCAGTGTGAGTTTGGGAAACATGGCCCAGCCTATGGATGATGTTATCAGGAAGCGTTTGGCGGGTGATTGTTTCCACATGTGGTCCCTGCTCTGCCTTCCAGCGGCAACAAAAACAACCTCCAAGTCAAGTTCGTTCCAGCAGTTCGTCTCCACCTATGCTCCGTCATCTCTCTGCTTCCTTCTCCACCTCTTTTGTTGCCTACCCACTCATCTTTTTCTCTCCTTTTCCTCCCCTCGTCATCTCCTTCTCCCTCCCTGTCTCCCATCCAACATGATTCCATCTCCTCCTTTCCAAGTTTTCTTCTCCCTCGCTGCCCTCTCTGTGGTAATGCCTCTCTCTTTTTTGAGCTCAAGTCAACAGAAATGTTAATTGTTGACGTAAAACTTGGAGGAAAAAAAAACAAAAAAAAACGTCTCACTTGAAAAAAAAAAGGAGATGTGTGCTGTTGTTGTTTTTCTGAAATGCAGAATCTAGAGAGAAAAAATGCTTCTTGTAGTTCCTTTGTTTTCCACATGAAAGCAGCCCTGGCTTGGCAGTAGGCTGAGAAACAAACACTTCTGAGCCACAATTAGTTCACAACAGCAAAGGTTAACATCTGCATCCAAGGCAGACTACTGTTTCTCATTGTGTAGCATGCTGCTATTAGAGAAGCAGCGTCTGATAGTCAAACATTGTTCAGAGGCACGGCTGTTACTCTGCTATATCTTGTCCTCTCAGTCTGCTGAGCCTCCGCATAGGTCAACACGTGGATGGAAAAGGGTCATCCTCTAGCCAAAAGCTGACTCATAACCCTGGGATCTGGAGTCTGTTCTCCGTAAATGAAAACAAACACAGCACTACACAGGAAACATGTTTCCCAGATCAGTCGGACCACGAATGTTAGTGTCATCAGAAGTGTCACAGCTTTTATTGACATCCGCCTCGCATCAATTTATATGGTGGAAAAGAATGTTGTCTGTCTTTAACAAACAGAGTAATTTAAGGTCCCATATTGTATAAAGGTAGATGTCCATGTGTAGTGTGATTATAGATCAGGTCTAGGTTCTATATTAATACTGTGAAAGTATCAAAGCCTCAGTCCACAGAGAAATGCACACAGCCTGTATTCAGAGACTGAGCCTTAAAACCAGCCGTCAGGACTTTTGGAACTTTGTGATGTCACAACAAAGCTGTCACTGCTCTCAGCCATGACCCAAGTCTGGTCAATGCAGACCCACCATCCAACTATGCAGGATTTGATTTCTCTGAGTGTTTTCCTGAAATCTGCTATATTTTTATTTATTATTATTTTTTATCACTCAGAAAACAGTCAGCCAATCGGAAAAGAGGCTCAGAGCCTCCCCACCTGTTGTTACTAGAACCCCAGGAAGAGGCCTGAGAGAGGAGATGTAAAACAACATTGAGATGTTTTTTTCTACTTAAAACCACAAATACATCTTCTTAAGGATAACAAATTTAAAATAAAACACTAGAAAGTGTAAAATATGGGACGTTTAATGATTGCTGTTGCATTTTTGCTGGCAGTATCATTAAATACAATCAAATGTGAAGCACCTGTGTGTACTGTGTCCTGTAACTCTGGATTAATCCTCGTGTCACTACGGACTCACAAATGTAAAGAGGAAATCAGGAGCTCCTCATTTGTCTTTTTAGCGTACCAAACTATGTAAGATGTGTAAGTGCACAATGATACTTGTCTTGTAAGTATTTTATAACCACGTTGTTACACCCAGTCTTAGTTCATTCACTTCACTTTGTTTTGTGTTTTGGAAAGATGCTTTTCTGGAGCTTTTCTAGGAAGCAAAAGGAAAATGCATTATACAGACTGGAAATGTAAAACATAATCTCATCGCAGCTTTAGGATTAGAAGGGCCATGGGCGACATGGGTCACCTCGCTTCCTCTCCCACCAGCCAATTCCCTCCCCCCTCTCTTTCTGTGCTCTCATCCTCCGGGGAAAATAGTGGGCTTTGGGAAAATAGCAAAATGAGTGTTTTCTCAAAGCGCCCCCTTCCCCCGTTTCCCTGCTCTTCCATCCATCCCTTGCCTACTCTCATCATCAGCCCGCTATTTTTTTTTTTTTTTTTTTTTTTCCCACAGTGCCTAGCTGTGTGCTCTGGAAAGAGAAGTCACAGGTCATCTGAGGTCAAAAAAAAAGGGCGGGGTGGGGTGAGGGGGGTGAAGGAGAGAAGTTGAAAGACTGGATTCAGAAGAAAAAAAATTGTTCAGCTTGTTGTTTGGAAATGCAGGAAATAAATTCCCCAGCAGTGTTTGTAAGATTTGAGGAAGGAAAAGACAATTGTAACAAAATGAGAGGGAGTCAGCCTGATGCTGGCAAGAGAAGGAGGAGAGTCTGTAATGAATTGTAAAATGTAAGAATTAATAAGGAGACAGAGGAGTAGCAAATGGGGACATCTGTGCCAGGATGACACATGAGCTGGTGCAGCACATACTGTATTTGCACAACTTACTAATGAGAAACAAATGGAACAGAAATAGACTCAAAAAAGTTTTCTCACAGAGCCACAGTCTTCAGCACTGAAACTACAGAGAAAGAGAAGAGAGCAGTCTACCTCTCCCCTTCATTCACTCATTCCTTTTGACCTTCGTTGCTTCCTGAACTATATTTGACCACCAGCTGAATCCCATCTTCTGTTTTTGTTCATACTCTGACTCATTAGGAGCGTAGAAAGAGCTGCCGTAGAAGAATAAAAAGATTTTGTCCAAAGGGAAATTATATAATTTGGCATAAAAGGAGGATTTTTCCACTGAAATGAAACAAAACATGTTATAACTCTGTTGAATGAAGAAATGAAACTTGAAAATCTGTAACGAGAGCATCTAAAAACCATGTCTCATCCTTCTCCATTACAGTGGCATTTCAAGAGTGCTACTTCTCCCTTCTTCTGTTTGTGAGAAATGCTGCGTTGCAGAGTTTTTTAGATTATGAGCAGCTTCCATCATGGAAAGCCCCCATCATCCCTCCTGTGGCATATCTCTCCTCTTAGTGTACGCTATTTCCATTTCTATTCATGCAGGGATAGAGACAGCATGAGCTGGCATGGAAAATCCCACCTCAGTTTAAACTCAAACACACACCAGCCTAGCATTACAGTCTGGACAGATCGCTGCGATCCTAACTGAAGCCTTTCAGGAGAATTTAATGTCCAGCCTCCCTCCCTTTTCCACCGTCTCCGTCTCCACCTACTCTGTCCCTTCAATACCAGTCTGCCTTCTACCTCAAGTAAGAGTTTACATTTGGAGCAGGGTTCACAGAGGTGCAGGGCCTCGAGTCTGGTGCTCTTCATAAACACAGACTAAGTTAAAGGGGCACAGGAAGGAATATTATGACTAACAGTGCACAGTAACTCGATTCTCTGACTCCTTGTTATCATACAGTATGTTCCCAGTCTTGACTCACTTACAATAAAACTAAAAAGCAGTCAAAAGACTCAGACCTGCAGTGAGTTAAACTCAGCTAAGCCAGGAGCTTATGACAGACAGCGCAAAGAACATAACTCTCTCTCTCTCTCTCTCTCTCTCTCTCTTTCACACACACACACACACACACACACACACACATACACAGCCACAGCCTTTAACTATCCTGAGCAAAAATAGTTAATCAAATATCAGATCTGTACATCTTATAATAGCTATAGCTATGATAGCTAAATATAAAAACACATATTCAAAGTGTTCAAAAGCTGCATGAGTCTAACTGTCAGCATTCAGGCAGCTGAAAAAGATGCAATTGGCCCATGAAGACTTTTGACATGACTTGTACTTGTACTTGGTTGACTGAGACTTTGAAGAGGAGCATTAAGACTTTTCCCTTGGTAAATGCCTCTCTGTAGGGCCTGGTATTTTTAGCAGTAAACAAATATAGCTAAATTCTAATGTTGCAAACTGGGCAAACATGTTACTTTACAGTTCAATAAAACAATCCTTGGTACAGACGAAAACACTTAAAACAGTGGCTCAGCCGTGCCTGCTCGCTGTTATGTAGCATTAGTTAGGTACTGCTACAGCGCACAGCGGGAATGGGAGGAGACTTGGACTTGAACCTCAGTCGGTAGCCAGATAACACAGCCCTGACCTCCACTCACTTCAGAGGAAGCGATCCCACACACAAGACACGGTGAAAACAAACATCTCCTCACTTGGAGGGCTCTCACCTCCTTCTTTGGTGCGCAGCTCCACCCAGGGCGACCAGTCAGATGGGCCCTGACTGCTGTGACAGGCCACCCTCACAGTATAGAGGCTGTGAGGCTCCAGGTCCCCAATGAGGTGGGTGGCTGGTGGGATGTTCACATTCTGGTTGTGGATCATCTTATCTGGGCCAGCTGTGAGGGACTCTCCTGAATGTTTGGCCTGGAACATTGAGATACCAGACTTTAATTTGCTACATCCTCGACATGCTTTTACAGTGGATTTCAGATTGACTTGTCAGATCTGGTGGGCAATGTGTTTTATTGCTTTGTAGCACAAACAGGAAGAGGATGCTGTTCTTTCAGTGTAAATGCAGCAAAAGTTTTTTTTTAGCAATGGTATATAGAAGAAGAACTGAAAAACTAATGGAGACGTTGCTTCAAACATGTTCATAATTTTAAATAAAGCCAAAAACACCCACCGAAGACTTGCACTATACATATACATAGCAATGGTACAGAGCGACCACATGCAGAAACATAATATTTGTGATAGAAAGCAACTGGATTCAAATGGGAAATGTGTTCTTAATAAACACTACTAATACCAACCACGGGGTAACTGTTATTAATAATCAATATCTACTAAAGGGAATAAAGGGTTAAAATAATTTGTGAATAGTGGAAATCAACATTTGATGAAAAAGCTGATCTGACAATGTTTGTTTCAATTTGCGTCACGCATATTTAACTCAATTTGTGTTACTTTGAGTGACTTTTTTGTAATAATTTATGTTACAGTTTCTCAATAAAAATGATTTAAGTTTATATATATCTGAGTTTGATAATTCATGACTGTTTCTTCAATCAAAAACACTTTCTTAAGTTGTTTTTCTAGTATTATTTTTCTCTTAATGCACAGTCAATGACAGAATTGCTCATGATGTATTGTGGAAGAAAGAGCGTGTGCATGATGGTGGTGGTGGTGGTGGTGGTGGTGGTGGGGTCATTGAGTGCTAATTGTCAAAAATGGTGTCAAATCTGCGTCATTGCTGTCTGTGATTTAACTCGGGCTCAGCAAGGTGCACTGAAAGCAGAAGTCATTAACCAAAAATCACAGGCAGAAACCTGCTGTCTCTGCAAACCCTCTGTGGTAAACACATTTAAAGAGGAACACAAGGCAGAAAAATCTTTCATTGCAGCAATCTTAAAACCACATTAAAGTTGCTGGTCTGGACCATTGTTCTCTGCTGCGTTGCTCATTATAAAGCGGCTCCTCCAGGCTACAAGCTGCATTTCACAGAGTGAGCTTTACAGTCAGAGCTGAAGATACATACACATAAGAAGTATAAATAATGAAACTAAAAATCTGATGATCAGCCAAAACAGATTACTGCGTGTGTGTATGCTCAGACGCTGTTATGTACTGCTTAGATAATGAGTTTAAAAACAACAGGAAAATTCAGATTTCATATCAGAAGCCGGGTGAGTCATTTTTCCTCATGGTGTGAGTTACATGGTTTGATTTCATGGAATATTAAGTTGTATGAATGAGGAGTTCATAAATGGCTGTGTGTGAGTCACAGAGAGAGAGAAAGAGAGAGAGAGTCAATCCTGACCTGATGAATCACTGTCCAGCCTATAAACAAGTGTGTTTAATTTAATTGTGCAACTCAGCCCTGAGTCACACTTCAGCCTGCATTCTCCCCACATGGCTCAGACCCACAATACCTGCTGTCACTGCCTCTTCCTGTTTTCTTTAACTGACTTCTTTAAGTCTTTCTTTTTCTTTCTTTCTTTCTTTCCTTCTTTCTTTCTTTCTTTCTTTCTTTCTTTCTTTCTTTCTTTCTTTCTTCTCTCTCTACACTGTAGGCTTTTTCATGTTTCTCTTCACCACACAAATTAACCGTTAAATTCAGATTTTTGCCCCATTCTGCTGAAGCCGGCCCCTCGCCTTGTTCCCTTGTGAGGGTGGGGGGGGTGAGGGAAGACTGAGGGGAGGGATGGGGGAGGAGGGGGCAAGAACAGCAAGAGGTATGAGGGGCAGCTTTATTAGAACCAGACGTTTAGGGGTGGTGCTGCACTGCTCCCTTCTCCAGGAGAAAATGTTCCTCCTCTCAGCGACGAGCTGTAATGGCCACAGAGCAGGATAGTGGTAGAGAGGCACTGACAGAAAGACAGAGAGAGAGAGAGAGAGCGAGAGAGAGGGAGTGGTGCTAAATAAGATTGGTCCAGGAGGCCACTTTCCCAGAGTGAAACCTGATCCACTGGTACATGAATAAAGCAGGGAGGGGTAGAGGATGAGTTAAGAGAAGAAAAGAAAAGCAAGCTCTCTTTTCTTTAAAATCTGGCTTGGGAAAGGTAAGACTGTGGTCTGTCTGCACAGTCCCGCAAATAGAGAGTGAGTGGTAAGTTTATTTAACATGCAGGTCAAAGAGTTGCAGTGATTTTTCCAAGCTAGTTTTCTCAGCTAGTTGTGGTATTCTCCTCTCACATGTATCTCACGTTGTCTCACCTGAACAGAGCAGCGGATTATCGGGTAGTCCCCTCCGAAACCAGGCTGCCATGATAAACGGAGGCTTGTCTGAGTGATCTCCACAGCTCTCAGATTCTGAGGCTGTGATGGGAGAACTAAAGACAATAAAGAAAGACACAAAGAAGATATAGAGATATAACAACAAGGTATTGTGCGATTAACAATTTAAGCAGGAACAGTTCATCCAAATTGAATGAAGAGAGCTGTTAGAAGTGTCAGTGCCTCAATAATGTGACACCCACCTGTGATGGTACCAGATCCGGACGTGGCCACACCTTTGCGGTTATGAGCCTCACAAGAGAAGGTGCTGGTCCTGTTCAAACCTGGACAGACAAAAGAAACAACACGCACGTGTGAAGCAGGAACTTTTGAGGTCTTCTGAAACCTAGAACCCTTGCTCAGCATGCTGACTGGGATATAATGTTGATGTGAGAAATGTTGTGAAAGTTAAAACTGAAGTGGGAACACCGAGGGTAATAGTTTCCATAAGGTAACGTGATCTCTTTGTCAATAACATTTTTCAGGTCTTGCAGAAATGATACCAGAGCAAAACAATCAGTGTCAAGCATCTTTCTGCTACATTTAATAAAAATCAGATCAGCAGCTGTGACCATATAGAGGTAAAGTTCAGCCACCCCTCCATCCAACACATACTCATCTTGTTAAAATTGTTTATATATATATATATCAATGTGTNTAATAAAAATCAGATCAGCAGCTGTGACCATATAGAGGTAAAGTTCAGCCACCCCTCCATCCAACACATACTCATCTTGTTAAAATTGTTTATATATATATATATATATCAATGTGTGTGTGTGTGTGTGTGTGTGTGTGTGTGTGTGTGTGTGTATACAATAGCACCTTTAAAAAAACCTTCAACCAAATTTGGGCCTACTCGTCTTTAGACCTGCAAATCACTTACAGGGTGACAATTCCTGATTTAACTTGAGAATCTCTAACCTGCATACTGTAAGACTGCTTGACGACATGTTGCATTTTAATATTTCTTGCAGTGTAGTTGCGAGATCAAAGAGAGAGCGGCTCTGTTGGCGTCCAGGTGTAAAATGCTGAGCTGCTGCCTTCAAGAGGCCGAGGCTCCTCTGAAGGGGGCACAACACTGTGACACATACTCGCATTCAACAGTGAATGAGTCCTCTCACAAAGTGACTCACAGTGTGCTCACACACTCAAGTCTTTCCACAAGACAACACGGTCTTACACACACACACACTGAAACATGTGACATTCAAGTTTTATCACTGTTATCTAACACCCCGACACTGTCCATCAGCCACAAACACAGAATCATGCAGTGTGTTGCCCTGCACTGACGGCACCATGCCTCCATTGTGCTGCGGCCGGAAAAAGAACAGGGGGTGCGATCCTCGCTGGGTGAAGCAAGGGGTTGTGAGAGAGGAAAAGGAGGGAGGGAGGGGTGAGGGATGATCACTGGCTGCTTGGGTGAATGAACTGCTCATCAGGCCATCTCGAGATTGCGCCACTTGCCCTTCTGTCTCTTTCCTTCCCCATCAGCAAACTGCAACACAACATCCCCTGACCAGCTGAAAATGTCGGCCGACAGGAAGAACTCCTGAGCTCGTCACAGCTCTGACCAACACTTTTAATGTCAGCTGGGAATGACACCGTATAGTATAGTGTATCATCCATTCAAAAAGTATTAGGACTGTGACTCACTGTGCTTTTCATAGTTTTGTTTATGTGCTTCAGCTTATTGGATTTAAGTATCATATTCACTGTTGATTAAGATACTAATTTCTTGATAAATTTCATAAACATTTGGCCTGTAAATGTTACCAAATAGTGAAAAATACCCATCACAAATTCTAGGTTATGTTTTCAAGTTGTTAGTTTTATCTACAACAACCCAAAATGCAAAGATATTCAGTTTGCACATACACGAGACAGAGACATGTATCAAATCCTCCGATAAGAGGAGAAGCAGGAGCCAGCGAGTGTTTCCACATTCTTGCTTGATGAATGACGCAAACAGTTCAGTACTTATTGGAGTTGAAATGAAACTATGAGGTTAAAAAAGCTGACTTCAGTAGGACAGTGATCGTAAACATGCAGTCACAATGGATTTTGGGGATTTTAGGCCCAAAAAGCAAGAACATGAAACAGAACATGAGGACTTTCTTTCGGTTTATGTTCACATATGCAATTGCTTTCGGCCCTAAAATTGGCGAACTAGGAATAAAAGGGGTTTTCCTACACTGTCCGTCAGATACGGATGGAAACTCAAACTTGAAGGTATAGGGGCATGTGTTGTCCATGATTCCTTACTGGTTCATGCCATTTCTCTTTATGGGCCTATTGAAAGATTATTGTGTTTGCCTTGGTTTGGACCTGTCTTCTGCCAGAGCAGCTGTCCATTCCAGACATGTGAGTGTACGTTACTGTCAAATGGGTACTGGTCAGCACCAGGCAGTCTACTCTGATGATTCAAACCAGATCCTTCAACCGACCGCTGCCGCCTGCCTCTCCCTCCTTCAGTCTGACTCAGCCTGCTCTGCCTGTCCTCCTACTACTGGACTTAATACAGGCCAGCTATCTGGCACGCAGCTGTGGTTTGCATTCAGGCGGTAACAGACCCCTCCTCCTTTTTATATTTCTCTCTTTTATCTCTCTATGCCCTCAGCCCATTTATTTTCCATCTCCCAGTAGTCCATCTTGTGCATGCTGCTCTGCCTTTACCCATCAACCACACAACCACAAGGGACAGTACATCCTCAATGGATCCACTGGCACTGTTCCAGCCAGCCTGCTCTCTCTGGGGAGGGTAGTTATTTGGTGGTTTTGTTTAAACCATAAAGGGGGGGGGGGTTTGGAAGTCTTTGAAACTATAGAAGATGGTTGCTGTGTAGCTTTTGAAGGAGTACACTATAATCAGCCTAAATGGATTAAATGAAAACCAAGGATTTTCAAATTGTCTTCTTTATAGTAATTTAAAACTTTGCTACTTGGGTCCCAAACTGAAACCAACTTCACCCTCGACTAATTGTGCTGAAATGAGAAGTCGATTAATCAGTCAGTTGGTCAGCAATGCCAAACATTTTCTGGTTCCAGCTTTTCAAATGTGAGGCGTTGCTGTTCTTTTGGTTGGACTACAATAGCATGGCCAGCCCTGTGTCCCTGACTGACTGACTGACTGACTGACTGACTGACTGACTGACTGAGAGAGTTGAGTGATCATAGTTCCATCATTGGTCAGCCGAATGCCACATGACTGAGTTGGAGTTTCTCCATTGACCGTTGCTCTTCCAAAGAGCTTGGCGCTTACAGGTTTAGGGGGTCTTTACAGCCTGCAGTGCTGCCAACTTAGCACATTTGTCACCAGATTTACACTCCCCCCCCCAAAAAAAAACATCTAGTGACAAATCTAGTGACAAATTCTTTGGAAAAACCTTGGCTACTTAGAAGAGAGTCGCCAGTAATGCCCTCTCTCTGGCGCCTATTCTGTTATAAAGTGGCAGATAGGTGGAGCAGCTGTTTGTTACCCAGACAGAGGCTGAAGAAGACAGATATTCTGTTGTTTCTAACTTTCTCTCTGAGTGATCGTTTTACAGTAAATACAGCTGAAATCACAGCACAGTCTTTGTCTTTAACTTATGTGTTTGGTGATTTTGCCAGACAACTTTGTGCTTATAAAAATCAGGATTTTTGCAGCATCAGAACAGCAGCTTGGAAATGGCTTGTAAGTTAACGTGTAGTTTTAATGGGCTGCGTTTCAGTCACTATATTCACTGTTTTTAAATACTGTATATGTGAGCACAGAGAGTAGGAGAGAAACAAACAGATAAAGAGCTGAAACCAGCTGACACTAGGCTGACTGAACGCAATGATGTAACAACACAACATCAGTTTTCAACTCCTCAACTTTGCACCTTGACCGTACATGGTCCAGCCATATACGTGGTTTTGACCTAGTCTTCTTGTATTTAATCTGACCGTAAACTGAATATCTCCGTGTTTGGTGGTTGGAGAAAAAAATATTTGAAAAATATCACCTTCAGCTCTGTCAACATGTACTGGACATCTTTTTAAGTAAGACTAAAACATTTGCTTCCCAGACTTATTTATTGATCACTGAATATTGGGCTGTATCAGTGCAAAGTGAGTATGTTACAACTAAGCTGTCCAAATGTGTCATTGAGTGCTGAGGTAATAAGAATCATAGATGATACCTGTGAGGTTGAGAGTGGAGGGTGACAGGGCCACCGGGTCCGCCAGGGTGTTGAGAGGTGCACCGTCCTGCAGCCAGATGACCCTGACTGGCTCTGGAGGTCCGTGGGCCACGCAGCTCAGGCTCAGGGATACGTTGGCCACTACAGACGTGTGATGGGGCTCCACAGAAAAATGAGGAAGGCCTGAGAGAGAATCAGCTGAATCAGACCCTCGACTCGTTTAGCAATCCAAATAAAACAGAGTGTGCTTGTCTTTTTGTATGTCAGGGAGCTGGAGATAGACTCACCCTCCAGCTGAATGCTCCCCTCCTCAGACAAAATCTGCCGGCTTTCTAAGAGAACAGCACATCGATAGGAGCCCATGTCGGGAAGCTGGACCTTCTCAATACTGTTGTGCATAAAATGGGATGATAAAACATCAAGCAATGACAAACCAAACTGACAAAAGTGGGAGACAGAGGCAGAAAGACAGACCCCGATTACTTTCCTTCCAGGTTTTGCCATCCAATCATACTGGGATTAAACACATTAAGCTACAGCAGGAGAGACACATGGGATTTTGCTTGGGTTATATCATTTATTCCAGACTTAATTTCAAAGTGCTCCACAGTGGCTGGAAGTCAACAAGGTGATGTAATACAGCCACAGAACTGGTTAAGCTAGGTGAAAGGATAAGGTGGAGGAACAGGAAACAAATAGAATCATGCCTGACATATTTAGGTCAGGTGTGGCCGCCTCACAACATTCATCATCATTAAATCTCATGCATCAACTAATGTAACCGAAGCAACTAATAAGTGTAGCAGACAAAACTAAACTGCTGCTTACCTCAGCGTGCTCATGATGGTCCAACTGTTGCTGCCAGTGTGAACTTGGAACTGGTTTGTGTCTGCGTACTGAAGTGGCACGCCGTCTCTCAGCCAGAGCACATCAGGGGGGTCCTCTTCCTCACCCCCTGTGCCCTTCAGGGAGCAGTGCATCGTAACAGGTTTTCCCAGTGAGGAGATGACAGTGGCGGGACTCCGCTCAAACTCCAAATCTTTGATGAAGAGAGGGAAGGAGCAGGAGTAGGGGTTGGTTTACAACACAATAAAGTTTTTCACATCCAGAAAACTCCATCCAAAAAAATGCAGTATTCCTTATTTCCTTGTAAAAAATAATAAACGATTTTTTTTTACAATAGAAAGGACTCTTTAAAGACAAAAAATATTAATCAAAAATGCTCTTGTGAACACAGCAAACGTAACCCCACTAAAGGTAAATACATAAAAGTAGTGCAATTATTTGATAAATTACTCATCTAACTACACAATTATTATGATTAAATACTAATTAGCTAATAATTATTATTGAATAATAAACAAGAGTCCAAAACCCAAAGATATTCAATTTATACTGATACAAATCACAGAAAAGCAGCAAACCTGCAACTAGCGCTGTTTGGTTTAATGAATGATTAAAAACTTCATTATTGTTGACATATCAATTAATCAACTAATTGTTTCACCACTAAAAGCTTCATTTGGCTGTGTGCTCGCTCTGATAAACATGTTCATTTACGCTGGACTTGATTTTGCCGTCGCTGTGATATGATAACGGCAGGTAACGCCAGAGTTTCTCCGACACTACACCGGCTTCTCAGTGAGTCTGGTTATCTTGTGTCTCTCACTGATAGAGGGGTTGACCTGAGAAGGACAGAGCTGATACTGGGACAAAAGCGTCCTTGTTAGAGGACGGCTGCTCCGACAGAGCACAGAGAGCTCAACACAAACACTCAGCATATTCAGGGTTTCTCTCAAACAGCAGTAATAGGCCTGCAGGTTGTCTGCCAAGATGTCTGTGAATCTGTTCAACTTCCAAAAAACTGACACGAGGAGAATCATCATAAATATGATGATTATAAACTTCTCTGGCCTGGTTCTGGCTTTGCTTACTTTCAAGACATTCAACAGACGTGAGAGGATGATTCCTTCCTGATGATGCTGAGGGCAAGGCATGCATGCTGCTTGAAAGATAGGAGGACGGTCACACCCTTGAGCTTTGTTGAAACACAAAGCTGGCAAGGACACCTGCATGCAATGGGCATATGGATCGCTTTTCTTTCTTTTCTTTCTTCTATGGCATCAATTAAAAATGAGAAGCATCCATGAAGCTGGCCAAGGCAAGGCATGAGTAATCACTCCTTCACTTGATAAAATAGATAAAAGATGAAATCATTTGAGAATGTTCCAACTTGGCTTGAGCTGTTGAATCTCAGGGCAAGAATAAATCACACTTGTTTCACTGAGTGATGCCTGTAAAGATTTTCTCAAGCTTGTCAACCCGCCCTCCTAGTCTACTTCATGGCAAACCTTCAACCTCTGACCCCTTCACTGCGACCCCAGAGGACTCCACTGCGACCCATCCCACGTAAACGCACATCGTTCAGCTACTGAAAACACATCTGTAAAGTAAGACGCGCATACTGGCAGCACTTATTTTACTCTTATGTCGAACATGCCCTTGATTCTTTAAATGGACATGTAACACACACACATGCACACACATAAACACAACCCAGCATTCAAAAAGCTTGTTCTGGGAGTGTGCAATAAATGAAGGGGCCCGCAGAGTCTCTGCTTCACCGCCTCTCTGTCTCTGTGTGCTTTTTGGCGTTAAAAGTCATTCCTCCCTTTATTTTTAAGCTTGGCTGAGCCTTTTCAAGAATCTGCGTGGCCTTGACTTGTTTTGTTTTTTTTCAGTGCCATATTGAACAAAAACAGCCCTACTTTCTTCCTGTGTCTCTTAGTGCTGCATTCATAAAATAATACGCTCGTAAACCTTTTATGAGAATGCAGAGGTAGAGAGACAGAGCAGGCTAGGTCAAACTGTGTCCGTGTGTGTGTCCGTGTGTGTGTGTGTGTGTGTATGTGTGTGTGTGTGTGTGTGTGTGTGTGTGTGGCCTGTCTCCACGGATTCATTTGTGCTTATCTCCTCCCTTTTGTCCCTAAATTCGCTCGAGGTCCCACACTTTTTGCTTTTCATTATCTGTCTCTTTTCCACCCTGCCTCAACTCCTACTCTCTCTCTCTCTCTCTCTCTCTCTCGTGGAAAACGCTCAGATGTTAAATGTCAGTGGACATGCACATACCAAAAATACCCAACACAGTCCCAGCATTTATCCTCCTTCTCACTCCCTCCTTTATCTTTCTGCCTTTTTAACGCAACATAATTCAACCCCTCCATTCACTGCCGCGCCTTTTGCCCTTCTCTCATTTAGCCTCCTTTTCATGCCATTCTTTGGATTCATCGCTACACATTTTGCCACCTCCCCTCCCTACTCTTTCTCCTCCACTCTTGCCCCCTTACCCCATCCATCATTCCACTGCTGGAGTCTGAGTCAGACCAGCTCTGACTCACAAACCAAAGCATTCGGCCCCGTGAACCCCTCCTCATCCCTCACATCCCCTCACTCCTGGGCCCCTGCCATACCTACATCCAAATAGGAGCTGAGACATCGGGAAAAATTCTCCTTTGAAACCGTCAGTCTGAGCTTATAAATCACAGCAGTGTCTAGTAATCTCTGTCCCTCCTGGTCATACATCTACTGAGGGCAGAGGTACAGCTCCCAGAGAGACAGCGTGACTATAATGGTCAAAACACATGCTGACAGGTGGAGGCCCCTGTAGGGACTCCATGTTCTCATCCACTGGCTGCAGTAGCTAATGGACTCAAAACATTCAACAGTTAAGTTGATTTTTCAAACAGATAAGGACTTCTGAATGGTGACTTGTGGCCCTGATGTAAAATGGCCTTCCTATATGCTTTGGGTAAGTTTCATGATTTTCTCTCACTTCCCAACAGGGTCTATTTAAGCCCTCGCTGCTACCCTGTCTGGAATACATCTCTAACATCTCTCAGTTTCCTGAAAAACGCCATGGCTGGTGGTAATCGTGGCCTGGATACCTGGTTTGGATGAGGTCCCAGCAGGAGTAGAAAATTCTGCAGAAGGGTGCCGCTGCACCTGATCTCAAAACATGATCCTTATCCTTCCTTACTCTACCTTTGGATGCCAGTGAAGAAAAACATTTCTCCAGAATAAAACCAGACCTCCATCACCATTTACCTGCTGTCACTGACTCCACATCAGCAGAATTTGAATCCAAAGCACTAAAATCCTGAGCCTGACTGCACCAATAAAAGTGATCTTTTATTTGTTTTCTTTGATACCCTTGTTTTAAAAAGCCTTTTTTTTTTTTTTTTACGAGTGTAATGAATTCCTTCATGCTGGCCAGATGTTGGAGGCACTTGCAGCTGTGGTTGCACTCTCCACTCCAGAGCAAATTGCTTTAATGAGCTAGGAGCAGAAAGCTGACTGAGCTAATTGCTCATTACGATGTTTTCCTCGCACTCGAGTTGGCAAACAACAGTGAGATTGGATAAAAAGCTGCCGCTGCTGCTGCTGCTGCTTCGGTGCCAGTTCAACTTACCTGTCAGTGTACCGGCGGTTACCGGCCTCCAAGCGGAGAAAATGACGGCGAGGAGTAAAAGTGACCATTTAAACCCGCTCATGGTTCTTCTTGAAATGAGATCACCTTTGAAAATAAGCATCATGAGGAGAGGAGTCATCTTGGAAACATCACCGGACTCCATCACCGCATCTCAGCTGCTCACAGATCCACAAGTTGAGCGCTGGAGAGGAAAACAAAAAAAAAAAAGTTTTGCTTTGTCTCCGGCAGATAGTGAAAATGTGATTATCCGCAGATGGGACCAAAGCAAGCCGAATCCGATCGTTTCAGTTCCCTTTTCAAAGGAGACAGACCGTGAAAAAAAAAAGAAAAAAAGTCTGCGGACGCTCAAAAGTCTTGCTGCTTTCTCCCCCTGTGCTGTTGTTTTGGTTTGATCCCAACACGGAGAGCTGTCCGACAAACTTTTAGTCACCCGGGAAAAGCGCGCAGCAACTTTTTAGCAGCTGATTAAGTTGTCCAAAGCCGAGTCTATTTGTAGAAACAGAGGGAGTATTTTTAATCCAGTGTTTCCTGCAGCCTGTCGTCCAAAGTCTCCCTCCTGCCCACCGGTTCCCTCAGACTCACTCAGACATTCCCCTGGCTTTTTCTTCTCCCTCTCTCCCCCCTTCAAACAGGATTCAAATTCCTCAACTCAAGTTCTTTCCACCCTCCTCCTCCTCCTCCGCCTCCTCCTCCTCCTCCTCCTCCTGAGTCTCCCTCCTTTTCTCAGAGGATGAGAAACCCTGCGGCATGCTGATTGTCTTAACACAATCCCCCATTCGCTGTTTAATTACACACGGGTCTCCAGAAGTTGTAAATAGCCCAGTAAATTATCCGTTTCCCGCTTGAAACACTGTCAGTCCGTGACAAACACAGACCTGTGCACTGCTTATAGACAACACTGTGTCCAGGCAGACTATAAATGAGTCCGTTTACTTATAGATACACAGAGTATCATTGTGATAAGAGAGTAAAGTAGTGATTTACTTACGTTGCTTGATTATTAAATTAATTCCCACATGAGATACATTAATGTCAGAGTTACTTGTTTTCCTATCTACCGCTGGTTTAATGCTGCAGGACAGCCTGTGGGCCTGTGTTTCGTCTTTTTGTCTTAAATCTTTTGCATAATGTGTTTCACAGCTTTTGTATTTTTGTTAACAAAATCATGCCCAGAGTCAATTAAACTAAATCACACAGCCCCATCAACACCATAGTTAATTAATTTGCATTGTTTATGTAAATTGATTAATTAAAAATCAAGAAAATCAAATAGTTCCTTGACTTCTTGGAAGGAAAAACTTCTGCCTTCTACTAATACAATGTGACTTTTAATAGCTTGCTGCTAAATGTTTCATCCTTCATTTATAAACAGGCATATCAATGTCTCATTTACAATGACAGCCAGCCAAGAGAATAAAAATGTATTAAAGCAACAGTAAAAATACTCTGATTATTGTGTTTGTATTTATTGCTACTCCACATCGCTAGGGTTATGTCATCAGAGTGTCTGGGAATTTTTTTTAAACATGTTCAGCCATAACAGACTGAAGCATCATCAGCTGCAGTCTAAACAAATGCCGCTGTCCCTCATTCCCATCAGATGTACAGAGGAGCTTCAGAGCGGGGTTTATTGTGTTGTTGTAGACTGTAATGTCTGAGGGTAGGTGTGTGTTTGAACAGGGATGATGCTGGTGCTCTCTGCCTACATAGGAGACGGCCCCACAGAGTTCACATACCATTCATGAATAATTGATTTGCTGTGTAGATTTCTTTCTTTCTTCTTTTTTTTTTTATTTTTCCCATGAAAACGATGGGAGGTACTGGGACTCAGGTTGCGAAGACCTGGGTCCCACTGGCCCTTTAAGAGTGGCTCTGTGGACAGTGTTGTGTTCCCAGGGTCTTTAATGGAGACAGAGAGGGACTGAGAAAGACCCCATTGTATATGCACTCTTTTCAATAGGAGCTTGAGCAATGGTGCTCTCACTGCTCCCAGATAGAAGCACAGAGAGAGAATGGCGGGGAGGGAGGGGGGAGGGTCACGGAGGGGGTCCTGTACAAGAAAGAGGGGTGTTCTACTCAAAAACACAAGGTTTGGGGGCTGCATGGACCTGGAAGGAGTGAATGTTTGGAGTCTGGGGGTGGTGGGCATCAGCTGCAGGACTCGGTTTTTAGGTTTAAGCAACAACAAAATCCTGCAAACCTGATTCGCTGAATACCGAGACTTAGAGGTTTTTAGATAAGGCTAAAGTGGATTAACAGAGATGAAAGCACATGCTTCCAGTCACAAAGCCACTTGTACCAGCAAAATGACTTACATGGATACCAGTTATTATGTTCCTTCACAAAGGCAGACACAGTGCAGTACCAACACAGCACACACCACCAATATCCTTGTTGGGCTGCACTGTCTGCAAAACATAACAACCTGTTCGTTTCAAAGGAGAGTTCTTATTGGCTGCAACACATGGGAAACACCTTCCTGCTGCTCTCCCAGCTACAGGGCCACCCGGGGGTGCTAATAATGAGTTAGCCTTTTCTTCTTCTTCATCCTCTTTCTGCAGCCTGGATGCAGCCGAAGATAAAGTGCTTCCCCCAACCTGATGATACATCACAAGGACTATAATGGACATGTGACTGCTTAATGTTTGCAGAGGCTCTACTACCCTCTGCTGGTAACAAATGCAAAGCCCCCATTCTGTATATGGAACCAAATACTCCTTGTTAGATATTAAAGCGATTTAAAGATATTTTTTCACTTGTATGGTTTTACGTGTGCGATGTATGTTGCATGACTGTGCAACATGCAAAGACAGGGCAGCATATGTTAATCTAGATAGTCCCTCAACCTTTCATAGCAGGATCCTACCTCCGGTGATAGATCATGTAAAAGCGATTCATTCAATTTCTTGTTTTACCTACAATCCACAGCGTCAGTGGGACTGGGCTCTTCCTGATGTCCACAATCATCTCCACTGCCTTTAGTGCATTGAGCTCCAGGTTGTTCTGCCTGTGTCAGATCACCAGATGGCCGATCTGATAAAGCACAATATATATGCTACATGTATATATTTTTCTATGTATATTGAGCGTTTCAGAGGAAAACATTTGTGAACATCCACATGTTCACTCATATGATAGCACACATACATACAGTATATATAAACTTTGTTTTGTTGTTTTGTTGCACATGCATGGGTGTATTGGGTGCATCACACACCATGATGAGGTTGTACAGTGTACAGACATTATTTCTAAGAAAAGTCACCGTGATGTCTAAAGTGATTTAGACAAATCATCAAACAGTACGGTGTTGCAAAAACATTGGCCAACAGCCAACTGAGTCATTCCTGTTAATGAAACTGTTAAATGAATTAAATACTTGCAGAAAATACTGTTTTTATTTGTTTATTTTTTATCATTTATATTTCACTTAGTATTGGCATAATCTTAGGTGTTGTGGTTGCCTTTTTAATTCTTTCACAGAGGTCTGTAAAGTCAGATATTGTGATGTGGGTGGTGATGATATTGGAGACTCAGGGAGTGTTGTTTGAATGTTTCTTATCTCTGCTGTGTGTGGTTTTCCTGCCTGCTCCTGGTCAGCATTCTAGTGTTGTGTAGCATCCCAATGAGTCCTCTGCAGCTGCCTGTGTTTGTCCATACCCGGACGTTGCAGTCCAAACCTGTAGTGATTATGTTTTTACAAGTGAGATCACATACAACTCTCACCATCTCTGTAAGACGAGCTTGCCAGGAGTGGACACAGTGACACACACACACACACACACACACACACACACACACACACACACACACACACACACACACGGCACTCATTAATATCCTCAAATGGCCCTTTGTCCACTTGTTTTTAAACCTAAATCCCTGAATGTCCCACAGACTAATCCTTGTGGTACTGTCCCCTGTCAATAGTATCTGTTGATTGACATCAGTTGACATTGTGCTAATGACTGCACCTTCATCATTCACAGCCCTGAACTTTCCTAATGAAGTATAGATGTAGCCATCTGCAGCAGTCAGCGGTGTGGCAGTGTCAACAGTGACCACCCTTCACACCAGTGCTTTTCTCTGTCAGAGCTGTAGATTTTTCATGTAGAGGAATTTCCCCAGTGTCTATGACACTTGTTGGCTTCTTCTGAACAGCCTGACTCTCAGTCCGGCCTTGAGCATGTTTATCTGCCATGTTTGCTCTCACTGGCATTAAGCCAGTAGAGAACCTCAGCAGTGTCGGCGTCCCAGATAACAATATCTGCATTCCCGACCAGATCTTGTTGTGTGAGAAGGCTCACACATAACTGCAGCTTCAAACATCCACAGGAGACTGTAAAAGATATTAAAAGATTGATATTGTATTATTCAAATGAAGATCGATTTGAGTCAAAGAAATTTTTTTTTTTTTTCAACGCAGCCCCACTCATATCCCTCCATATCTAGGTTCAAAGTGATCTTTGAGTTCCTTCCTGACCCAAACATACTATTGTTTATGTAGACAATACCTGTCACCTCCCTTGGCACGGTCACCAGAAGAGTAGCAAACTCTGCTCCACTGTTTAGGTTCCACATTCTCACTTTCCCATCCTGGGAAACTGTGCTGCAGTCCATCAATGCGTGGCAGTGAGCCCAACACGCTGAACTGGCGTGACCTTAAACTTCATGACGGCCTTTCCTGTTAAGATATCCCACACTGTCAGCACACCATCCTGGCAAACAGATGACCTGTTTGCCAGGATGGTGATAGAGTGCAGAGCACAGAGCTAACATTATGGGATGTTAGCGTGTTTTTAGAAAGGTCTGCTCCTCTGCCAGGGCATTTTGCTATATCTGAATTAGCCTGGACTAACTAATTGCTATGTTATAACACATACTGGAGATTGGGGTCCGTCTGATACCAGAACTGGAAGCTTTGTCTACACAGCCAGCCATCCTTGGATCAGACACCTATACTCAGTGGTGGGGAAGCTACTGAATATTGAATATAGCATAGCTTTGCAAGCTATCAATTACTTTACATGGGAAGAAATCCAGTTTAGTTAACTAAAGCTACTTAGAAAAATTTGTGAACTACTTTGTAAAAAAATAATCATATTGACAGTGTACATGTGATATGAAATTATAACAAAATAT